TATATATATATATATATTAATGTTTGAAGGTAGTATTAAAATTAATTTAATTTTTAAATTATATTGTTATTATTTTAAATAAATAAAATATGGATTAAAATCTTTAAATTATTGATTTTATAAGGGTATTTATAAGCTCGTTGTTATGGTAAATCCGTTAAGAAAAAGACGCCATTTTAACTTTGCATCGTTTCAAAATGGCGTCTTTTTTTTTTTAAATGTATTTTTATATGAACATTGAAAATAATTGAGGAAGAATGCTGTAATTTTATTCTGTTTATAATGAATATAAACAAATACAGATCTATATAAATAAACTTAAATTAACATAAGTTGATAAACTATAACGCTTCTTAATACTGTCTTAGAAATATGCCATTGGGCATACTGGATTTCTTAATATTAATACGTTATTAACATTAATAAAAATTAAATTTTTAAGATATTAATTTTAATTATTATATTTTATAGGTTACAGAACTTTATAATTGTTAAGCTAAAGCGTTAGAATTCTATAAAAGTTAATTAATATCATGTTATACGTTTCTTGAAGATTCCATTGAACATACCATTCAGTAGTACAGTCGACCCCCTATAACATTGTTGATAATTCCGTTTTATATGAATTCCATGTTGTAGGAGTCACTTAGATTTTACAAATACGTGTGCCGGGCTGTGAACGGCTCACGTATTTGTAAAATCTAAGTGACTCGTACAATATGGAATTCATATAAAACGGAATTATCAACAGTGTTATAGGGGGGTCGACTTGTATACTTTCAAATCTTTAAATTTTGCTATTATAAATTGTATGAAAATGCCATTGTTCTATCGCTTTTCATATTGAACAAACGGAACACGTGTCACGATTTGAATCGCGATTTTTACACGTTATTCGCCATGTTGATGTATTTATCTCGGTTTTTATTTGGAGGATCACAATCCGCCCGGGATTATCCTAGCGAAGATATCAAAGGGGGAAAAAATACTTTTAGACAAAGTAATTCGATTTAGCGCAGAAATAGTTTACATCGTAGAAAAGGTTATACTGATAAAGGTCTAGCTATAAACAGAGAAAGAAATAAGCGTTATTAAATTTAAGTCGTATTTTCGACGTGAATTATTAAATTGTTAATCAATACTTGTCTTTTGATGCATTATATAAGAAGTAAGACATTTATTGACTAAGTCTGAAACCTAAATAAATTGGGTTGTTGCAAAATTAGGAACCTTTCATAGAATCGTAAGAGTTAGAACCCTGAAAAAAAAATCTGTTATAACGAATTAAGTTTGAAATTTTTTTTTAGTGACAAGTATATTAAAAAATAGAATTTTGTAAAATTAAAAAATTAAAAATTATTCAGTAAAAACTGTATTAAAAAAAAACGAATTTTAATCGATATTTTATTGGCANATGCTCATTTACATGCCTAGTTTCGTGTGAATTGAGTTAAATGAGTTATTCTAGTTTAAATATCATTTATTGTTATTAAAACATATTCAAATCTTTAGTAAAATTGTTTAATTAAAGAAATATGACCCTTAAAATTAAATTAAATAATTATATTTAATTATTTTTAGATGATTTTTGATACATTCTGTTTTGATACTTAAACATAATCAAATTAATCGCTTCTATTAAGAAAAAAAAATTATTATTCTAATTTAGGATAAATAAAAATATAACAAATGATTAAATATTCTAGATAAGAGACTTATCTAGAATATTTTAATTAGTTTTTGTTATTTTTTTTATTAACGTGTGTATAAATACAATCATTTTTTTTTTCTTATTAAATAAGATATATTTTGCTTCGTTTATTAATGTTATCAGTATAAAAATTTTTAACACTTAGACATGGAAATTATAGAAAATTACACTCAATACGTTCCTTATCTTTATAAAGACAAGAGGAGTAAATGCATAGTCCTGACTGGGGATGGGTTCGATTCCCGATTAGATTCGAGTTTTTCCTCTCCCACAGTGACTCGAGACCCATCCGGCTTTGCTCCCAATGGATATGTTGGTCTTGTGTATGCGCAGAATCATTTTAGTTTTTTATCTGGGGAATCCAAGATCGAATCCTTTTGATCTTCATTCTTCGAGTTTTCGAGAAATCCATGCTCAACTCTTACATTCCATTCTTTTCTACTGTTTTATTATAGTTTACAACGGATTGACTTCTCTGTAATGTAGTTGTATAGTTTAAAATTGAGTCAAATTGATATCATTAATTCAATAAAGTAAATGAGCAAAGCCATTATTGTTAGGAAAGATATTAATTCAAGGCTTCGATATCCTTACCAAATTTATTTACTTTTATGTAAAATAATGAAATCTTAATTCAAATTTTACTTAAATACTCATTTAATATAAAATTTTTTATTAAGATTTCATTATAATTTCATGTTATATTTCATATGAATCATTAACGCGAATCCTTCCTTATACAGCATGAATTCTTATTACAAGTCGACCCCCCCATAACACTGTTGATTATTCCGTTTTATACGAATTCCATGTTGTAGGAGTCACT